ACACACACACACACACACACACACACACACACACACACACTTATCAGTAACACTGGCTTACATCACTTGACCTCTAAACCCTGCTTTATTGACTGGAGGAACATCTCATGTCACGGCTGCAGCACACGGGTTCCACATGCAAGCAGAATCCATTATTTTACCTTTGATCGTCTTCATGTCCGTTCGTCTGAATGTTCCTCCTCCAGGTCGGGCAGAGTCGGGATGGTGACGGTGCTTCTGAGCGTGGTGCGGACAGAGAGGCTGCTGGGACTGTGGAAAGGAGTTTCACCGGTTAGATCCTGCTGCTCCTGAACTACACATGTTCTCCTTCTCACTCGCACAATGAAAACATGTGGTTGATTTCCCTCCTCCCCTCGCTCTGCTCTCTCCTGCATGTGATCCTCCAGTGCTTCGTTCGGACCATCCCGGGTGTGGGGATCTACTTCAGCACCTTCTACTCTCTGAAGCAGCACTTCCTCCAGAACGGCAGCCTAGGGCCCATGGAGGCCATGCTGCTGGGAGGCGGGGCCCGGGCGGTGGCGGGGGTCTTCATGCTGCCGGTCACTGTCATCAAGACACGCTTTGAGGTAAGCTGGTGGACGTATGTGTGTGTACAACTGTACTCTAAACACTCTTCCATCGCTAACGAATCCGTTTGTAACGATGTGGGAAAGCTGGTCCTGCTTGTGACTGAATGGCTTCGCCGTCTGTCTCAGTGCGGCAGGTACGGGTACAGGAGTGTGGTCGGGGCTCTGCGCAGCGTGTGTCAGACGGAGGGTCCTGCCTCTCTGTTCTCTGGCCTCATGGCGACTCTCCTCAGAGACGTTCCCTTCTCTGGTATCTACGTCATGTTCTACAGCCAGGCCAAGGCCTCGCTGCCGACAGGTACGTCCAGTCTCAGAGAGAAATATGACTTTTAACATTTACATTTAATATTGTGACACAAGCTCTATTCCTTCAAGAAATCAGCACGTCTCCGTCGGCCCCCCTCGCGAACTTCGGCTGTGGGATCCTGGCGGGCGTGTTGGCCTCTCTGATCACTCAACCCGCCGACGTGGTCAAAACACAGGTGCAAGTGAACCCACAGCTGAGGACGGCAGAGGCTGTCAGATGCATCTACATGGTAACTGTGTCCCTCCTCTGTTGCTTGTTAGTCTGAACGGCACGTAGCTGCATGATTCATTTAAAGGTCTGACCTCCGTCTCTGTCCGTTCTTTAAGGAACATGGCGTCCGGGGCTTCTTCAGGGGAGCAGTTCCTCGGTCGCTAAGGAGGACCATGATGGCCGCCATGGCGTGGACAGTGTACGAGAAGATGATGGCCAACGTCGGACTGAAGTCCTGAAGGGGAACGTTGATGAGTGAAAAGAAAATGGAGATTCAAGTCAAGTCACTGTATGAAGAGGGTGAATGTGTGAAGAGGAAGGAACTGCTGCTGTCGCTCACAGGAAAATATTTTATGGAGATGCTGACTCTTGAGCACAGACTCGTCTGAATGAGTGACGTGCACGTCTGGAGAGATTTCACTATCAAGTGTGTCACTGGGTTGAGGCTGAAGTTCAAGAATCCAACTTCTTCCCTGTACAGAAACTAATACTGACACTAAAAATGTTCCGAACCACACAACAAGTTTTTAATCTCAGGGAGCGTTTGGACTCTGTCTTTAAGTTTTGGAAACACAGTGGGACATTCCTCTATCTGTTTTTAAAAAAAAAAAATTCAGATATGATTTCAAAAAGACTTCAGTGATCTGGACACTGTCCCAGATTCAGCTCAGACGTCTGCGATGCACTTTGACCTCTGCCGTTTTCTTTCATGGCACAGCCCAGCACCTGGAGAGACTCTTAAATGCCTTTCTAATAACACAGTGTTATTTATGTTCTTATATTTTAATATGTGCTTCTAACCTGCCTTAAATGACATTAAAGTTTTGTTTTTGCTCTGGTATAAAGTATTTCATCTTTAAAACAAACTGGACTCTGTCAGGGGGGAGTGGTGACCTGGCATCAAATAGTAAATAAGAACAAGGAGTGGAGGAGGGGCAGGCTACAGTGAGAAATGAAAGTATTTCTGGAGTCGATCTGTGTTTGCTAAACTAATAAATTAACTATGACAGTTTTTTTATTTCCTTCATCCTTTAACCTCCAACTTTCCAAGAAACACGTCAGCTCCTCTTCTCGGTCCTTATTTGTAACGACCGGCGCCTCGACCGTCCTTGACTTTCACCCAAACCCAGAGTATTGCAGCCACATATTGTGAGACTGTTCAGTCACGAAGGTGTAAAGTGTTACACAATGCAAATATAAAAACTGAAAACAAACACACAGTGGTGCACACCGACCGCCTGACAACATGTTTGATCAGTTTATATCATACACAAGAGTCTGGACATACAGGTTCCATTGAAATGATTTATCTTCTCGTTGTGTAATTGTGTAAACAGGATGATCTCTGTGCCTGGAACTCTTTATCTCGAACAAATAAAGTTGCACCACAGGTCGTTTTCCCTGAGGAGTCTCAGCTGAGTCTTAATATGGTCTTTCCATCTTCTGCTTTGTCTTAATATGGGATTTACACAACTGACCTCTGGTTACCTGGACTGGGATCGCCCACATTTGGGGCTCCACCAATCAGAGACGTCGCCACTACACCTGAGGATTGTGGGTAGTGTAGTTCTTCTCCTAGACTCGGTCGAATTAAACACATTTAACACAGTTGAGACTATACAGAATTATATTGCATGATTTAATAATCTCATAGCTTCTGGTAAATCTACCTCTGACTGTTAATCAAATGTTTTTTTGGAAACAATGATTAAAACAATTAAAGGTTTATTTCAACATTTTAAACATTGCACTGGTGTTGATACAGAGTTTATAACACAACAACACTTTGTCATAACACAACATCGGGAAAATAAATACATAAATAATATAGAATCTCATTCAAGCATCTTTAACAAGTTCAGTTTAAAAAAGAAGTTTCAGGGCATTTTGGTCAGTTGTGTATTTGAAGAGATTTTCTAAATATCTTCGTTCTCCCATCTGTGGATATGGGGCTTGACTTTTAAATAATCCATAATAAATAAATCAAAAACACAGAATATGGACATGAGGTTGTGTTGTGTTAGCAAAACATTTCAGATAAACTTATTAGTGAATCGTGAATCGGTCTCTTTTCTGAAACAATATTTGTGTTCAGCAAAATCAGTTGGTTTTGTTTTGATGGAAACCGGAAAATAAAATCCTGTAAGACTTTCTCATAATTTCCTGACTGAAGATGAAACCCTGAGATCTTCGTGTTTAAAGAAAGAACTCATTAAAATCAATCAAACGTGGAGCTCTGTTACAGCGCGCGGGAAACAGCACCATCCGGCGGCCACGTCGCAGATCCACGTCATCTCCGCTTCCCGCTAACCGACCAATCACACGCCGGGAAACGTACTATAAATACGACGTCATTTCCTCCCGGCGCCCTCTTTTCACCGTGTGGTCAGATCTCCAACGGCGTTGTTTCGTGGTGAGTTCTTTCACTCGTTATATTTCACCGTTAAACCCGTGAAGTCACCACGGAGACGCGGTGCGATGATGAGTCGGTGCATTAACTCACGCCGGGTGGTTGTAAATCCGCCATGTTGTTTCTTTAAAGAGTCTAAATATCGTTTAGAAGACGATGCTAACATCCGTGCTAACACGCTAGCTGCTGACACGCGCTCCTCCCGCTGCTGCCCCTCCTCGTGCCTGACGATAAATACTCATGAAGCTGTGAATTCATAGTTTATCTCCATTTAAAAAACTTTACTAAGCAGTTTTTTTAATATGTGAAATATATTAGATGTGTTAATGTGGAATCTGCGATGTGTTAGCGGGTCATTCAGTAACTGGACGCCTGTAGTAGCAGCTCTCTACTCAGTCGGGGACTTTTTTAAAAACTGATCCTCCATCAGAAAGTGATTAAACTTTCTTTAATAACTTTTTCTGCCATGAGTCTGTTTAAACTGGTATTGAAAGACCTGATTAGTCACCGTCTTTGAGCTTGAGTTGAACCTCATGGTCCTGAAGAATATTGCAGTTGCTTCATTCATATATTACGGTGGTCGAGAGAGATACACTACAAATTCAGAAAACATTAAGAAGTCACAACACGTGTAAATGTAGAAACGTGCTGCAAACGGTAATGTTTCCAGGGTACCGAACAAAGTGATGAACCTGGATTTCTCAGTTTGTCTGCTGCAAACTTCCAAAATTGTCTCAACAGTTGATGGTTTAATGATAAATCATCGTAGGTGAAAAACGTGAAGTTTATATTCTGACACTAATCCACTGTCTTTCCTTTCCCAGCTCTCCCAATAAACTCGTAACGCAGGGAAAGTGGTCACGATGTCCGGAGGTCTAGATGTCCTTCAAATGAAGGAGGAGGATGTGCTGAAGTTCCTGGCGGCAGGAACCCACCTGGGAGGAACCAACTTGGACTTCCAGATGGAGCAGTACGTCTACAAGAGAAAAAGCGACGGTGAGACCTCTCACTGTGATTCAGGTCACTGCATTAAATGCACATGAAGTCTTATGTCAGTGCTTTAATCCCCAGGTGTGTACATCATAAACCTGAAGAAGACCTGGGAGAAGCTGCTGCTGGCGGCCAGGGCCATTGTTGCCATTGAGAACCCAGCTGACGTGTGCGTCATCTCCTCCAGGAACACTGGACAGGTAATGTCCAACACTTACAGAAATTCGGTACATTGACTGAAATACGCGCACTTTTAAAGCCTGGCACTGATGTCGGTGTTCAGGTGTCGGATGTGTGCAATAGTAAGCTGGCCGGGTTTTCGCTAACACCATTAGGACTGCAGTCCAATGATTGGGGTTTGATAGTGACCTGAGCCACAGTTCAAACTGTTGAAGATAAAGTAATTGTTGGGATTTAGCTGAGATTTTGAATATAACCTCTGTTTCTCTGCCCACTTCAGAGAGCTGTGCTGAAGTTCGCCTCTGCCACCGGCGCCACCACCTTCCACGGTCGTTTCACCCCTGGTACCTTCACCAATCAGATCCAGGCAGCTTTCAGGGAGCCCCGCCTCCTGATCGTGACAGACCCTCGTGCTGACCATCAGCCACTGACTGAGGCTTCTTACGTCAACATTCCCACCATTGCCCTGTGTAACACAGACTCCCCACTGAGATACGTGGATATCTCCATCCCCTGTAACAACAAGGTGAGAACCACTCACTCCTGACTTCCTGTTGAATCCACACACTTACACACTTTGCACACCGTTAGAGCCCGGTACTGTCCTGTCTGTGCAGTGCGGGGTGTAGGACGTGTGCTAAAATAATATGCTTGAACTCTGACCACTCCTTTCCGAACCACTTGGAGAGTTTTGGTTAGAGATCTTGCCACAGAAACTTTACTATTGTACATTTATGTACTTGGTGAATATTAAATGACTAAGATGTACTGCAATGGTGGCTGCTGGGTTTCTTCATCTATGGTTATTCATGACTAAAGTGCACTTGTGTTACAGGGTCACCACTCTGTGGGTCTGATGTGGTGGATGTTGGCCAGGGAGGTTCTCAGGATGAGGGGAACCATCTCCAGGGAGCACCCATGGGAGGTCATGCCTGATCTGTACTTCTACAGAGACCCTGAAGAGGTGAGACAAAGTTACAGCAGCTTGATTTTGCAGTGTGTAAGTGTCACGTGTCTGATATCTGTAACGCCCCATATTTTCTATTTAGATCGAGAAGGAGGAGCAGGCCGCAGCTGAGAAGGCTGTTGGTAAGGAGGAGTTCCAGGGAGAATGGAGCGCCCCTGCTGCTGAGTTCACTCAGCCTGAAGTCGCTGACTGGTCTGAGGGCGTTGCTGTGCCATCTGTGCCCATCCAGCAGTTCCCAGCACGTAAGATCACTTGTTTTCTTTTGAACGACTCTTATCTAAACTTTGTAATGTTGTACTTGGCTGGTCTCTGTAACGTGGCACTGAACGCATCATTAAAACTTTTCTTTGCTCTCTAGCAGCAACAACTGCTGCGGCTGCCGCTGCACCCGTTAAGCCCGCCGAACCCTTCCCAGCTGAGCGTAAGTGAAATCTTAAATTATGTCAACATCAATTCTTTTGAATAGAGGTAAAAACTTCTTGAATGCTAAACTTGTGTTGCCTCCCACAGAGGACTGGAGCAACCAGCCTGCCACTGAGGATTGGTCCACAGCTCCCACTGCCCAGGCTTCAGACTGGGGTGGTGCCCCCGCTGACTGGTCTTAAGTCAATGACTTTGGCAACAATAAAAACTGTTGTTTACTCTCCGACTGTTTTTGGTTGTTTCATTTAAAATCTACTGAATGTCAGAAATTCCTCACAGCATTAAATGAGCATTATAGAGGCAAAAGATCAACACCAATAAAAGTAGCACAAGTCAAGACATAAAAACTGATTGTTGCCATTGAGAACCCAGCTGATGTGTGTGTCATCTCCTCCAGGAACACTGGACAGGTAATGTCCAACACTTACAGAAATTCTGTACATTGACTGAAATACGCGCACTTTTAAAGCCTGGCACTGATGTCGGTGTTCAGGTGTCGGATGTGTGCAAAAGTAAACCGGCCGGGTTTTCGCTAACACCATTAGGACTGCAGTCCAATGATTGGGGTTTGATAGTGACCTGAGCCACAGTTCAAACTGTTGAACTGGCTTCACACTGGGGTGGTGCC